AGGCATCCCAGACCCCAGTCTACTTTCAACCCTTCTTTCAGTTCCTTAGTAGGCCCCTAACCTGCAAAACAGACTTACAAGGCATTCCTCAAATGTTCTTTCCACTTCCCTGTCCCATGTGACATACCCTCCCTCCCTCCAACTTCCGCAGCCTTTTCCATAAAGCCTTTCACACATACCCTGGCTGTGGATGTCCTCTTCCTTTTCTGAACCCCACAATTCTTTCCTTCCCTTTCTCCTCCTTCCCCATTTTTTTTCACTTATTCTAATATGCCAGGCACTGAACCACTTCTAGAGATACTGAGGAAAGATGGTCCTTTATAAAGAATCTGTTAAGAGGAAGGAGACAAAGGAGAAGCAGACACTTAAACACATGATAAATGCTACCAAAAGTGTTATACATAAGGAGCCACAGAAAAAGAGTTCATTTAATCTTGCTCTGTTAGAGTACAAACACCTTGATGATTAGAATCAGGTCTCCATAATCTTGTATTCATCTTTCTTCCTAGCAAAATGTTCTGGGTAGAATAACATCTACAGACATGCTGTTTAATGAAACCCAATGCTTGAGTCAGAATCTGTTAGCAGCCTCCTTTCCTATTTCAAAAGGGACACCGTCTGAGTAAATTGGTGTCCCAATGAATAGCCAATCTAATGACTGCACATTCTCTTGCATACTGTTAGTTTACCTACAATCCTTTTATTCTCTCATCTTCAATACTTTCTCTTTCTTAGACCACTATATGGTAGACTTCCAGAACACAGCTATTTCCCCAAGAGATCAAGGGATATGCTCCCAAATATAGGAACTACACGTGGTTACAGTTAGAAAATACAAAAGCAGAACCTTTAAGAATTCCACTTCAATCATAAGAGATTCTAGGTCTTTTTCATCTGTTCCTAAAAATTAAATGCAATATAAGTCAATCACAAATAACAAATATCTATCTTATAAATGTCTATCATATTCAAATGAATTCATAATCTCTATTCTTAGATACTTTCCTTCTAGATTATAGGAATCATTGCTTCAGACACATTTAGCATGTGTGTGTGTGTGTGTGTGTGTGTGTGTGTGTGTACACTTTTATGAAGTCTATGACATCCCAACGAAAAGATCCTTCAATGAGTGGGGAAAACCAAGAGTAAAATCCCAGTCAGTCCTCATTTATTTATGTAGATGACTTCCCCCAACACAGCCTGAAATTTTTACTTTAAAATTATCTGAGCTAACAGCACCCCCTTACAGACTTACAAAAGAAGTGTGAAAAATCTTGGTTAAGATCTCATGAGTCACTTACAGATTAAGGTGAATTAGTTCCACCAGACTGTTTTTCTCTTAACACCTAGATGAGATCTGCTGCACAAAAGGGAATGAAAGGCTGAGATGGAAAATGCGGACAAAGGAAATTGCAATTTGAAGACAGAGACTGTGCATAAAGCTTCTGAAGTACTACCAAGTTTAGGTGAGTGTAACTTGCTTGAATGTACAGAGACCTGGCAAAACAGTGTACTGGGTACACAAAAGGTTTAAATTGGAAATGTTTATAAAAAGTCAGAATTGGCTTAGCAAAAGATGAGACACTAAGGAAACCTAGGCTTCTCACTTCTAGTTCTAGAACCCAGAACTCAAACTGAAATGATTAAAAATAGTTTGATTATATTTCATGAGTTACTTAAGGTTACAGAGTTGGCCTAGATAAATTCCTCTGTATTTTCAAGTTCCAAAAGACTTACCTAGGCAAACTTATTAGGAAGCACACTTGGGTTTGTTTTTGTTTAGGGCCTGCAGCATGCTACTCACATGCTCTGCTATAGAGCTACACCCCCAGACCCACTGTGATATATCTTAGTGAAGACAATTTTGGGTCTTAATATCCTTTGTGGCTATGAATTAAACATATAGCTTCTAACGAATTAATGGTAGTTTGGGAAACTTAAAATGTTCTATTTATTCTTTTCCAAATTCTCAATAAAGCTGGAAAAAAATTTTAGAGATCCTCTTAAAATTTAGTCAAAGTACTCAATGGGTAAATTTAAATGCGTTTCTCAAAATTAGAAAAAATCAGATTCATTAGGTAATTAAACAATAACTATGCTTAGTTTAATTAATACCAATACACAAATACTGGCATTTCATGTAATCAACCAAAAGTCAAGTCATTCAAGAAGCAAAGAGCAGTCTGAGGACAGAGTATGTAGGCAATACATAAAAATTTTATCACCTTTTCAAAAGTTTTTCTGTAAAAATTAACATACCATGCAAATTAATATGTAATACCCCTAAATAAATGTATTGAGAAATGACAAACTATTTGAAAGCATCATGGTATGTTTTTGCTGTGAGAATTCTCACAACATGAGGATTAATACTTTTTTCTCAGAATCAACTTTTAAAATTTCCTACATATTTCATTATTAAGTTTAAGGGAACAACTCAAACTACTGTACAAGTTATTGAACATGTCAGATCAAAAAGGAAATTTGCATTAAGTATAGTAACTATACTATTCTTCCTTCTACTACTCAAAAGAATGAACGTAGCTAAGATAAAAACAGATCCAAAACAAAGGAGCTAGCAACCTTATATTATGCTCAAGTGGGTATTCTTTACTCTGTAATACATTTAATAATTCTCTAGAAACTGCACAGTCAAGATGATTATACATTAGCATGATCTTAAACTGTTTGTAAAATGGTCATGTCCATGGAAGTAACACAAACATATGACAAGTTTTGTGGTACCCAAAACGTCATAATTAAAGGTAAATTTTATAGAACTTTCATTTCTAAAAATGCACATGAATACCACACCACCACCAAGACAAAACAAACAAAAAAACATGCTTACTACAAGCTTATTATAATGGAATAGATGAGTTCTAAGTCTTAGGACAGAGTTTAAGTCAACAGCACAAAAACCTGATATACTTGTATTTCTATCTAACCATCTTTCACTTTAAAACCTAAAGTTCATGTAACAAATTCTTTAAAGATCTCCCCCACTTTATAAATTCTTTTTTTTCCAAAGCACCCACAATGCAAATTTCCAAAACGTTTAATAATAAATCCATATGTTCTTAAAGTATGACTAAAAGAAAATATCTAATGATTTGATTCTCTAAATAACAAAGTTAATAAAAATCTATTAACTTTCCTATAGGGCAGCAGATGTTATTTACTAATCACAAAAAATGGAAAAATGTTTGTTTAGCTAAGATTATGCAACTATATTAATTTTGAAATAAAAAATACTTACTAGCTATATCAACTTATTAAGACATATAAGTTCACTAAATTTCCTTCTATCCGCTACAGTAGCTGCTAAGAGTTTTTGTCATCTGAATTACATCTACAATTAACAGACAGAGTAAAATTAAAATCTACAGTGTCTCAATGTTTTTATTAGTTATTGATACAATCACCTAACAGGAAACCAGCAGAGCCAGAAAAAAATCAAAACATTTCCTACACTGGTATGGCATGTTAGCTTTAGTGACAGATGCTTAAAAAAAAAAAAAATTAAAGCAAGACCAAAAATCCAAAGGTTTCTTGAAATTATTTTCTTTCAAGACCTTAAATGCTCCAGTATCTACATACAAAACATGTAGACATGGGACAAGGAAGACTGATCTAGAAAGCCATCTACAAATTCTCAACAATATCCTTTGCATGTTAATACCTTTCAGGACAAAATAATCTTTTAAGCCTAAGCACAGAACAGTGTTAAATGGCCTGAGTGATAGCAATGTAGAGGGGGAAAGGACACCGCTGAATCTCAGAGCCACTTTTACTGGCATGTAGTCTGTATCAGAAAGCTTCCAGGTCCTCAGGAAGACAGCCTCCACCCAAAACAGAGAATGCAAATCCAATTCATCCTCGCTTCTGTATTTCTTCATAAACCCGCAGATACAACAGAAACGTCGTAATTGGATTTTATACAAAGAAGAAAAATTTCAAAAGGTTGAAGTCTAAGAAGGTAATCCACTGCATGTACACTTCTCCAACAAAACAGCTAAGCAATTCGCATGTGACTATTTTAAATTCGGTTCCGTTCCTATGCAATCTAGTATTATCTATTAAAACTGCCAAAATATTTTTAAACTACATGTGAAAATTTCCCTGAGCTTCTCATCTTTGCACGCCTTTATAGAGTTGGGAGACACGTTACTGGCAAACCAACTGGTAGTGACAAGAAGTTACTCCAAACCAGCTTTTCCCGATGAAAACGTAAACTAACGGTCACCCAGAAAATTTCCAAGCCCCTGGAATCTCAAGAGGGCGAGGGATAAGCACATGCAAACCGACGATTCCTGTATATCACCTGCTGCAAAACTTGGTGTGCAAAATCTAAAATGAATATTCCAAGTCTCCTTTACCCCCAAGATCCTGGAACATTTAGACCTCCCAGAGATGTGGCTTCCCACCTAATGAACCCCAAGATTTGACAGCACTTCATTGCTTCCCCTTGACACAGCTGCACCTCTGCATCCAAGGCTGCAATGCCCCACATGTGTCGGCACATTCCTCACTCGGCCTAAGAGGCACAAAGAGGCTCCAGCTTCCTGGCACCTCGCAGCCAAGTTTCTGAAAGCCGCTTCCAGGCAAAACTCTCCTTCCGCTTTGCACATGGAAACTACATTCGGAAGGGGGGATGCCCAGGAAGAAAATCAAGATGCTAAGTGCAGCACTTTTGCAAAGTAAACAGACAAAACAGACTCTGCCCCCAGCGAAGGTGGCTCCAAACTCTGCGGCCGGCTTGCGCCCCCCCTCACAGCTCCCGCGCCGACCCCGGCCCGTTAGGACAGGGCACACGGCTGCCGCGCTGTCCCCGCGGAGGGGCCGCGCTCCCCAGCCGGGACCCCCGCTGCTCCCCTGGCCGCCCTCTCCTTCCGCCGGGGCCCGCTCCTCAGGACGCCGCCCCCACGCGGCCCCCGCCAAGTTCGCTCGCGGCCGCACCCGGCGACCCCGGCGCTGCGGTCGTCGGCTTGGGTACGTACTCGGCCGGCGGCTGCAGCGGTCTCGGCGCGCGCTCCCCGAGGATTGCTCAGCCCCAACTCCGAAGTGACGGCCCCCCTCTCTCCCGGCTCAGGCGGCTGCGGCGGCCGGGACGCCCCCGCTCCCATGGAGGGGGGGAGGGGGAAGGGAAGGCAGTGGGCGCGCTCTCCCGGCTCCGCTCCCGGGCCTGGGCCCGCGGCTGCTTCCCGCCTGCCCGCCCCGACGGCGCTCGCTCGGCCGCGGCGGCGGCGGAGGAGGAGGCGGCGGCTGCGGCTGTTCCCGGCTCGAGTGCGCGGGCGGCGGCGGCGGCGGCGGCGGCGGCGGCACCTCCCCCGCCGCGCCCTCCGCCTCCCCCGCCCTCCCCGCGCCTCTGCGCCCTCCGCCTCCGCCGCCTCCACCCCCCGCGCGCTGTCACATTGGGAGATTCCGCTCTTGCTACATTCGCCGCTCCGGCTCCCGCCCACGCGCGGCCGAGTGACGCAGATCCCGGCGTGGGCCGCCGCGGGGCGGGGGCGGGGGCGGTGGCCGCCCGGACAGGGCCTCGGCCTCTTCCTACCACCCCCTCGGCGGAATCCGGAGCGCGGCCCATTCACACGGCAGCTGGGAGGAACCAAGTGGGCGCCAGGAGGGGGCGGCTCCCGTGAGTCCCGCTCCAGGCTGGGGAGGGGGTGGGGAGAAGGGGATGTCGCCTGGGGCCTACTCTCCTGCTGAGGAGTGAAACGAGGTTTGCAATTTGGAAGAGGGGGAAAAAAAAAAAGGCTGATGTGTGAGGTTCCCAATATAGTATTTCAAAGAGCTCTCCCCGCCAAATCGGGCATCCCCGGCGCTCCGGGCGCGCCCCGCCCCCGCGGGTTCAGGGCGGAGGTGGGCGAGCCAGGTGGGCCAGGCGCTGCCCCTGCGGAGGCGTCCAGCGGGAAGTCGCCGCCATCGCCTGGAGGAGGGCGGCAGGTGCGCGGCCCAGCGACCGTCGCGGTTTCTAGAGGCTCAGTCTCGTCCATGTTGCCCTCCTCCCACCACCGCCTGGGCGTTGGGAGAGGAGGAGGATGGGGAGGAAAGGGAACCAAAACCTGAGCTACAGCTTTGACAACTGTCTCTTGCTGGGTAACTTAATTCCAACGTCTTACCTGCTGAAAACCTGCCTGACACTTTATTAGCTAATGTTTTCTATTAATATGGTGAAGACAAACGGCGCTAGTACTATCTTGGAGTGTGTCAAAATAGACTTCTTAAAGCATAATACAGATTTTTTTTTTTAAACCTTGGTTTGTAATAAACTTTTTTAGCCAAAGAAAGTATTAGAGCACCTCCAAAAATGTACTTAACCTATTGCCAAAAAATGTAGGAAAGAAAAAGTTTTCTTTCCTTTGCAACAAAGGAAAAATTAAAGAATTCAAGTTTTTAAAGGATAGAAAACACTCATTAATACAACGCTACTGCAATACAGGTAGAATCCTGTTTCAACACACATAATAAAAACCTAGTTTTATATAGGAGGCTATTCCCACATCCTGGCTGTTCTCCCAGAGTGTGCCTACTTTTGCTGTTGGGGATACAAGGCATTCATTTAGATGAGAAATTCTTCAAACCACATCTTTATGTTGTAGCAGTGGTTGATGATATTGAAAGAAAAAGATCTTATTAAAGTGGTAGGCCTTTTTTTTTCAGCGTGGGTGAAAAAAACTGCCTGGAGCAGTTAAGGTGATATTTCAAATAAATATGCTTACTTCCTCAAATTCTTCTTAAAGGGAAGAAATAACTGTTGTAAGTTTCTCTTAGCTTCTCTAATTGTCAGGGGGTTTGCAGCTGTGAATCTTGTTCTGCTAACTATAAGGAGAACTTGGATTGCTAGAGTATAATAAAGATTATTGAAACAATTTGTTGGCTGATTGGGAAAGGTAGAGGTTAATAAGTGTTCAGGCAATGAAATTGGCAAAATCCTTCTAATTCCTCCTGATGATTTGCAAACATTGCTGGTTCTGAACAACTGGAGAAAAAGAACTTTCTTCCAAAACAATGTACAATCAGTGACTCATGAGTCGCGAAATGAGTGGTCTTACCTGCACCTTTGAGTCTTCTCCCGGAATTGTTTCCAGAGTTGGAAGAGCTGACATTCACATCACAATGTCTGGCTGAATGTGATGCAGAAAAGGAAATTTATTAGGGCAGATACTCTTTCTTCTTTCTTGTAACTGGTTGTTTCTTTCTACTGTTAAACACTGAATCTTTCCTTGTTTAGATAGTGTATTCTTCCCACATTCAGAATGGCATTTTTGGCCCACTTTGCTTTGCCTAAGTGCCCTGTGGTGCTGGGGGAAGTGGTGGGAGGAAGGAAAATGAAAGATAACATTTTAAGCTTTTAGGTATCCAATTCTGTTACATCTGTGTGACAACACTGTAGTCAACATGACTGCTCTGAAAGAGTGGAGGCATTTACCTGTAGATGAGACAGTTCAGATAAAGAAGCACTGATTATTTTATACCTTGCCACTTTTGTCACCTACACCACCTCCCCTGTCCCAACACTTACACAGCCTTCTCCTATTCTCAGTGATTTGTTAAGGGAAATAGAAGAGATGCACATTCCATCCTGTAAGGTAACAATTATAGTGTCTGATTCTTCTCTGAAGGCCCTCTGGTAGAAACCACAGTTTCAGGATTTTAGAGATTTCTTGGAGGCAGTCCCAGACAGGTGTAAGAGAACACGGAAACAGGAATAGTTCTTTCAGACCATTTGGATTTAAACATGCATGCAGTACTTTTGATTTCTTCTGTCTTGATTTTACTATAAATATCTATGTATTTAAGTTATTCATTTATTCAGTACATCTTGTTGAGCAACAATGAGGTGCCAGGTTTAAGGTTGGGTTCTTGGAACACAAAGACAAGTAAAAGTCATGGTTCACTGTTCTCAGGTCTTTTTTTTATAAAACAGAGAAAATAAGAAATACAAAAGGAAGCCTAAAAGGCAAAGGAAAATATTCTTTCTTTTTTATTTTTTCATACTCTTAAAGATAAATATACAATGGCATTCTCCTAACACTCCTTTAAATCCAAATTAAAATAAAATAAAAATAATTTTCCTAACAGTGGAAGCATCATGTCTTATGCTATATTTCAATAAAAGCCTAAACGACACTGGAATGTCATTTCTAAGAGGGTGTATGGTTTTATCTATTGTGGTCCTTTATTCGCTGCTCTATCTGCAATGCTTAAAACAGTGGTTAACACGAAACAATAGTTGTTGAATGACTGAATGAAATGGAAAATATGAATTAACTAGCAAATAGAATTTTTATATTTTGTAGATGTTCTCAGTATGAATTATATTTCCTAATAGAAATGTGTAAAATGTGTGATATCTACTTCTGATTGAATATGTAATACTTCCAATAAAGTAAAGTAAAAATATGTTTAAAAGCAGTATATAAATTGCAAGTAACTTTAGAATGTTATTAACTGTAGCAACATTCCTATTACATTTTTAGGCACAGATTTATTTTTTAATTAATTACAGAGGGTTAATAGATACAGCAAATTCTGAATTTTAACACCCCTTGGAAAGTGTCCTAAGGACTGTATCATATCCTGTTTTTCATCCTTTTTTAATTTGTATATATTCTTAGAAATGACACTTGCAAATACCTTTCCATGCTTAATTTCTTATCTAAAAAGGTAAGGATAATTCAAAGCTACTTCTAGTGGCTTAAACAAATGTCCTTGTTCAGTTTTAAATTTTGAAAACACTTTTTAAAACATCTGAAAGCCTTCAGGCTATTCTCTTAGTTTTTATTTTCACCTAATAGGTATTTGGGAGAAGCTTATTTTATATCTCCATCACTAATTTTAACTAATGCAGTAGAATATGTCATAGTATACAACCAAATATGTAATATTTCTCTTCTTAGAAAACCAGATTTTCCCTCGAGCTTAAAAATTACAGATAAAGAATAATATTTTTCTAGAATTTCTGAATGGGAGTTGAAATTGATGAGAGTGGAATACATTGTGCCACCAAAAAAAAAAAAAAAAAAAGCTGTCCATGGTAACACATCCTTTAGTCCCAGCACTCAGGAGGCTGAGACAGTAGGATCTTGAGTTTGAGGCCAGCCTGTGCTACACAGCAAGTGCCAGGCCTTTCTGGGCTGCTACATAGTGAGACCCTGCCCCTCCCCCCGCCAAAAAAGAAAGGAAAAATGTACAATCAGTACATATAACACACCTTTAAAAACAAGACTGGTCAATAATAAGTGAACAGTGCTTCTTCTCTTCATCTTCCAACAGCCCACAGGAAGCATGCTGAGATAATTGAAGATGCAAATGGGTGGTGACATTAAATAACAGTAAACCACAGTGAGCTAGTGAGTTATTCCTTGACAATTCTCTTTCAGTAAGTGTACCAGTGTGCCTCTCGTCCCTCTAACACTTGCTGAATTCTCAAAAAGAGATCAGCCTTCACTCAGAACCCTTAACAGGCCTCGGTATACAGCTAGGATTTGATAGCATTGCCTTCCTGTATTTGCCCTTACAGTTTTTTATTGAGGCAAGTGAGATTCATTTTCCATGTAGAGTAATGATACCAAAATATCTTTTAAATAGACTTATTTCAGTAAAATAAACACAAATGTTTAAAAGAAAACTGTTAGGTGGCACTATAAATTAGTATGGCCATTATGAAAAGCAGTACATAGGTTCCTCTATTTATTTATTTATTTATTTATTTATTTATTATTTGCAGTACTGGAGTTTGAACTCAGGGTCTCACGCTTGCTAGGCAGGTGCTCTACCCCTTGAGCCACTCTGAAAGCCCTTTTTGTATTGGGTATTTTCGAGATAGGGTCTCACAAACTATTTGGCTCGGCTGGCTTTGAGCCTCATTACTCCTGATCTTTGTGTCTCCTGAATAGCTAGAATTATAGGCATAAGCCATCGAGCCCGGCCTGCCTCAAAATTTTTAAATAAAACTACATATGATCCAATAAGCCCAGACTTTGTATATCCTCAAAGGAAATGAAATTGGATGTCAAAGAGAGACCTGAACTCTCATGTTTACTGTAGCACTGTTTTCAGCAGCCAAGGTAATAGAATCAACTCAAGTGTCTTAT